CATTAAATAAATTAAATAATGGCACAAATGGCAGTAATTTGACGAGCGTAAACGTTAGTAAAACGCATTGTTTGAATACTAATACTCTCTTTCCATAAATTTTGCGTCTGAAAGGCAAACTCCTACAAATGCATATTCAATATGGTGAGTCACAAAAATAACTTTCCACGATATTCAGCGTAAATATTTCACTGCGCGTCTTTAGTAACTCCTGACAGAACTCTTTTAACACCAAAAGATGGTTTGCGCTGGCGCAAGCTGTTAGTAAAACTGGCCCATAGTCGTTATTGTTTATCTTTTTTTTTTTCCCTTCTTTTTTGACTGTGCCTCCAGTCTGTTTTTAGGAAGTAGACAGGAGACCTCAGTTTATGTTAAGTGAAACGAGGAGTCCTCATCAAATATTTTGTCTAATAAGATGAAAGTTCCTCCCCTAAGAATAATGTCAGAAAGTTTTAATACTGGATATAATTTTGCTTCATGATATAAATAATATCATTGTGTTTTCTTATGAGTTTCATATAATGTTCATATCATGTTCAATTTTCATTCATTTGACGATCAAAGAGCAAAAGAATGCCAATGACTTTTCCTTTCCTCTGTGTGATTTATAAGCTTGTTTCCTCATGGGGACCTAAAAAATGTCCCCACAAGGTTTACTGGTATTAGGCCTACTATACGTGTGGGGACATTTGGTCCCCATAACGAGATAAATACCAGGTACACACACACACACACACACACACACCGTGAACACAAAATAAAACAAGTCAAAAGAATAGATGATTTAAGCAGTATATGTAGCTTTTTTTTAATAAATAAAAAGAAAACAAGTAGATAGATTAGAAAACGAATCGGGAACGCTAATGTTAGAAGAAAGGAAAGGAAAGGAAAGGTGGCCAAGTATGGTATCCCATACTCAGAATTTATGCTCTGCATTTCACCCATCCAAGCGCGCACACATACACACACACACACACACACACACCGTAAAAACAAAATAAAGCAAGTCAAAAGAATAGAAAAAGAATAGATGATTTAATAATAATTTAATTATATTTATGTTATTTATGTAACGTTCTAATTTTATAATGGGCGTGCGTGCTGAACATTCGAGTCTCATTCAAACACTGGAGCGGAGGGAGTTGCCATGGAAACGGGGCGCAAACACAACAATTGACAAGCAGGGAATCCCCGACTCTCGCTGCTGTTTTCACTGTTTTCGGTAAGTTTATCCCCAACTCAGCTGCTGTTTTCACTGCTTTCGATAAGTTTAGTCCATAAAATCACACAAATATTACATACAACTGTTCCTGACACTTCTCTTGCTTGTAACTGACTCGCTTCTCATTCGGTTTAATGTCTTCGAACCAGTCCGTTAGCATCTTACCCGTTTTCAGAGGAGGTAACATTAGGCTAACTCCATAGACTGAGCTCTTTATGAAAGTTTGGGATTTTAATTACATCTTTATGTGTAGATGAGAGCATTTGACAGTTCTGTAAAAGTTTTGCTGGTATTTTTTCAGTGGGTGATTGGAAACTGGCTCATTTATTTTTACTAACGTTAAACTGTACCGTTAATCGGTGACGTCACTTACATCAGCGCGATAATAAACGGAATCAAGTTCAAACGTGTTTTGATCTCTCATGGTAAACAAATATTGACAAAAACTATTGATTTCAGGAGTAAAAAAAAAAACCCTCAGCAACCGAAAGTTCCAAGATTTCACAATTCCTGAAGGGAGCCCTAGATGGAGAAAGAACACAGGTGAACTGGGAAAGCTTCTTAAAATTTTAAGAAGGCTTTGACATCCATAAGTAAGTAGTATGAGCAATATTAAATAAGTAAACAGAAACAAATTCTGTTATTTTAAGAAATAGTTTTCTGTATTTTCTTCTTTTTCTTTTCCACATTTCACCTCTGCTTTTGCTTGGTTCCTTGTAATAAAACCTGGCATTGTATACTAAATATGGTTGTCTCTGTGACAAATTGCTTGTTATCCCCCCCCCCCCTTCAAGTTAGCCCCCTTTAACATGTTAACAATAAGTTAAATATATATCGCAAATATGAACTAAATAAAATCATTTAGTCATAGTATTCTACTGTTAGTCATATTATAATTTATTGAAAATCCAAAAATCAAAACTATATTTCTTTCATATGTGTGTGCGGGGCGCCCGACTAATGAGTGTCTATGTAGGTACACAAACTTTTGAAAAGCATGTGATTTGAGGCTAAGCTCTAATTGGCTTGTTTCAAATTGTCCTTGGGGCGCAGCGCTCTGCGCCCCAAACCCTCCCACTTTTGTTGTTAGAGCGAATCAATATTGTTTTTATATGTTTGGCCTCATGTGATTGGACCGTTCTCAACGACTCTCATTCCGCTCAGCAGCAGCTCGTCAGTCTGACAGACAGGTACTAATTAATGTGGAAGCAAATGAAAATTCATTCGGATGAAGAAAAAAAAAAGGATAAAGGAGCTTGGACCAGATCGACCATACTTGCAAATTCATCAGCAGTCAAGTGATCGCGGTCGCGCCTACACTCGGGGCTTTTCCAGCACTTCTTATGGCAAACGGAGTTGGCTGGCTGGTTGTGATGTAAGTCATGCCTTTTATTGTTTTCCATGTTTGCTGTTTCAAAGTCCTGGCACCAAACGTTGTGGACAACAACAGGGGTTCGTGGCTTAAAACATCCCTCTGAAAAGTGCAAATGAAAGTAGCCAAAGCCATCTTGACAACGCTATGAGGCTCCAGTTTTTTGGGAAGCTTAGCATTGCTGAACAGCTAGATGAAGGCTACAGGATTGGCATTAGAAGGCACAATGAAGAGGTCACAAAAAATAGACCCATCCTGTCTAGAATAATAGACTGTGAAATTTTTTGGCGCGTTTGAGCTGGCTTTGCGTGGCCATGACGAGAGCGAGACGTCAGACAATCCCGGGATATTCCGTGGCCTGGTCGATTTTGTTGCTTCTCTTGATTTCGAGAATGCCACGGTGTTTAAGGGAACTTCAAAAACCGTGCAGAACGAGCTGTTGGACTGTATGTTGTCTGTTGTGAGGGAGCACATTATTCAAGAAGCACGGAGCAGCGATTTTCTCTCAATCCAGCCCGACGAGACCACCGATATTGCCACACAGTGTCAACTTGTGCTTGTGCTGCGCTACATTGACGCCAAAAGCAACGTACAGGAGAGGTTTTTTGAGTTTATTCCTCTGCATTCAACTACAGCCGATTCCATCGCTACAGCACTAAAAGAGCGTCTTGCTGTCATCCTTCCAGAGGATCAGAAGAGAAAACTCATCTCCCAAGCGTATGATGGAGCCAGCGTGATGAGGGGTACCACTGCAGGTGTTCAAAGAAAGATGCAAGATGTGTACCCAAATGCCCATTACATCCACTGCTATGAACATCAACTCAATCTGATAATGCAACAGGCCACTTCTCACATACCCAAAGTGAGAATTTTTTTTCTGACCTTGAAGGATTCGCCAGCTTTTTCTCAAGATCACCCAAGCGCACAGATGTCCTTGATAAAGTAGTTGCCCATAGACTACCGACAGTCAGATGGAACTTCCACAGCCGTGCCATCAATACAGTGTTTGAGCACAGAGAGGACCTCATCCGCTGTTTTCAAACTATACGAGACTCAGGTGACTTTGACCCTGTTACCGTCAGAGAGGCAGGAGCCTTTGCCATGCTGTTGGAGGATCAGGATTTTAAGTTTTTTTCTGCAACTTTTCCACAACATCATGCCACATGTGGACCTCCTCTATGCCAAACTCCAGAAGGACGACATAGATTCAGTCCACATCAGGGGGAGCATCCAGCAGTTCCAGCAGGACATACAGAAGATCAGGTAGCAGGTGTATTCCTTGTTTTGCATTTTTTATTATTATTATTATTATTATTATTATTATTATTGATATTTTCGTATTCCTTTACAGAAATTCTCTCCATTCCCTGGTTGACCAAAGCAGTGAAGGTGGTTCTCAACCGAAGAAGCAGCGGTCACTCAGTCCAGAGGTTCATGAACGGATTGCAGCAGAAGTGAGTTTTTATTGCAGTAAAAATAAACCATTACCAACAAGTTAAACCGCATTGTTTATTTACCTTCTATGGGTACCTGTAAATGTCTTCTCATGTCTTTTGATTTTATTAAAATTTTGCTTAAGTATTGTAGCAAAGAGAAAAACTCCCCAGTATCTCAAAACTCCCACTTGGGATACCGGCCTTTCTCATTGGACAAGCCCATCTTGAGAGGCGGGGATCTTCTCCGACCTTAAAGGCCCACACCAGGGACCCTCCCCGGTCGGTGGTTCTGTTAGGTTTCGATAAGATGTGAGTTCCAATGCTCCAGGACATCCTAAGTTTTTGTGCCAGGCCTTCAGCCTCGACTTTTCCGCTCATCAAGATTCTCTGACTCAAAACTGGTTCTTTTCATCGACCCAAATTCAGCAAAGATCAACTGGAAACTTCAGATTACATCAAACCTCTCTTTCAGACAGATGAGACTTGCAAGTATCCAAACTTAGTCTTATTAATTGATACATTAGGTATCATTTTCACCTTTTTACAAAGGTGTGTTTGAACTAAGAATCTGATGTTTCCCTGAGGTGTAAATCTGCTGAATATGCAAATGGTTCTATAACTTCATATTCCTTATTTCTCTTCTCTTTACTGCGTTAAGCTTTTAACCCTTTCCTATACCAACTGTATGTGTGTGTGTGTGTGTGTGTTTATGTGTATGTTAGACCAGTTTAAGTGTGTATTTGTATGTTAGACCAGTTTAAGTGTTTATGTGTATGTTAGACTAGTTTAAGTGTTTATGTAGTTAATAAAACCTTACTTGTATCACACTTGACGTTGTTCATTGTTTGCTCATAACTGGAGTCCCTAATCATGCAGATTTATGCTACAAGCTCTGTGTAGAGTTGTACAGTAAGAAAGTTATTTCCCTTAACCAGGAAATTAACGTTCTTAGAATTGACAAGACAGTTGACCCTGAGAGGTCAAGTAAATATCTACAGCGGATCTAAAATATTCATAATTAATTATAACTAGTTATGATTAATTATTCATATTTCCCATGAGCTGATTCGTTACAGAGGATTACTATTCCATGTGTGTGGGTTCAATGTGAGGAGCAATAATATTGTAGTCACCAAAGACATTTATAATTGCCCACAGAAGGTAAATGAAACAATGCAGTTTAATTTGTTGCAAGCACAATGGCTTGTGTAGATGATACAGTTATACAATGACCATGTCTCTTTTCAAATAAGAGTTTTTAAGTGTCTCATTATAGTATAGAAGCATTATATTAAAAAAAGTTATTAAAAAAAGTATTTTGGAGATCAGTTTTGTTGATTATAAGCTGATTATATTGGGCTTTATGAAACTATAATAAATGTATATGAATTTTTTATATACTGCAAGGTTATCTTTTTAACCATTTACACAGTCTTTAAAATGATCTAAAAGGATTTGTTATTCTTTGGTTTCCTCTTGTGGACAACATTAGTATTACGGCCTTCATCTCTGAGTTTGATTAAAATAAATGACTGGTGTTTTAAAAATTGCTGTTAGCGCCCTGAGCATCAGAAGTTCATGAAGCTTGACATGTTTACTAAGAATGAACATGTTTATGAAGTTTTGAGAAATTATGGATTCAAACACTAAAACTGGTCTCCCTTTGTAACTTAAATTGGTCATTTTAAATGTAGCAGTTGAAATTGACATTTTGTCATCACTACATAATTTTTGTTTTTATCCTTTACTGCGTATGTCTGTGATACCGTACTCAGACACACATTGGAAAGGTTCCCCTTCACAGACCACCTCATTAATGCCACCTTGCGTCAAGCAGACAGGTTTGAACAGTACAAAATGGTGTTTCCTGAAGATGCACTGAGCAGGACTTTGAAGGCCTATCCAGTGCTTGACGGGAGTAAGCTGAAGACAGAGCTTAGTCTCATCTACTGCAAGGAAGAGTTCAGAGCCTGTTGTGGTGCTTTGGACCTACTCCAGCTGTTTATGGAGAACAATCTTGAGGAAGTCTTTTCAGAGACTGTAACTCTCCTAAAGATTCTTGTAACCACACCCATGACCACAGCAGAAGCTGAGAGGTGCTTCTCAACCTTGAAAAGAATTAAGACTTTTCTGAGAAATAGCATGACCCAAGAGAGGCTGAATGCATTGGCCATGCTGTCAATGAAGAAGAGACTGTTGACTGAGATGACTGACTTTAACCAGAAGGTCATTGAGAAATGTGCAAGCCAGAAAGAAAGGAGAGCAAATTTTATTTTCAAGTAGTGCTACTGGCCAGTGATTAGGCAACATTTCTGTTTTTTTTAAATTTTATTTTCAAGTAGTGCTACTGGCCAGTGATTAGGCAACATTTCTGTGTTTATTTTATTTTTTTATGATTTTCTTGATTACTTCATTGCTGATAATAAACCCAAATTGAACTAAAATTAACTGATTTGTGGTATGTTTATTGCATGCTTTAACAGTTTTTTATTTTTGTATTTTTTTTTTAGCTAAGCAGTAATGATACATCCTCACCTGATAAATGGCTTTTACATTCCTGCGTTACTAACAGTTTGATTTTCAGTTGAAAATCACCCCCCACCCCCACCCTTACGAGTAACCGTAAAATGCTGCAAATCATTTTTTTTAGCATTTTTTAGCACCAGCTGCCACTGCTTTAGATGCATTATCTAACGTGATCTCATAATAAATCATATGTATTTTACGTAAAATGTGGTTCTATAAAACGTATATTTACTTAAGTTTTTACAGGCACTAAAACTTACAAGTATATTTACTTACGTTTTTACAGGCACTAAAACGTACAATACTGACGTATTTTCAGCATCTAAACGTACAAACCTGACGTATTGACGACACCTAAAAATGAATCCTTATGAATATTGAAATCGCGGCATTAATTTTATTAGTTTTTAGTTGTCATATGAATTACCTTGTTTTCAATTGCATTGTTAAATAGTTTAATCGTTTACTTATGAAATGATAACATTTCGTTTTGTGTGATTTCTACTTAGATTGCCATAGGCCAATACAGGTCATATACACCAAAAACGCAACATAATTACGAAATGAAACAATTTTGTTCGTGCACTGTAATCCAAATCTTCCGAATCCATATGACTGCGAGGAACAGACCCAAATCCAAGCCTTTTTTCAGCGATCTTCTCCATCCCGAGCAGCGAGTCCAGTGACCGTAAACAGCAAAGCCCGGGCTGACTGACGCGCTCTTTACAATTCAAATGTTGCCGCTTCAAACGACAGGTTT